CACTTGGGAAGTAAATTCCAGAGACAAGGCCCTTTTCTTGAAAACACCCTGCAACCAAAATACCAGACATTGCAATCTTAGCATTGTTGGCTCAAACAGCTCCAACAATCCCAAATAAATATACGATATAAGAAGGGAGAGGTGGCTTTTCTTAAATAGCTATTTAATGTTTAAATAGACTGAAGGCTAGCAGGACTTCAAATAAGTACAGATAAAAGCTAGTTAGCATAACTAAAATTACTGCCACCAAACAGAGGTGTTATCGCCATTTTCACTAATGCTTAACTGGATTATTATAGAAGCGTTTGATGAAACCTTTTAAAAACTGTCAAGTTGCATAACTATCCAATCTATATCATATTTAAGAAATATATATTAAAAAGTAGTGTACATATATATAGATAGATATAAATATTTTTCAAGAAGATGGCTGAACCATCTGTGGCTCCGCTGCCCAAAACACGCGCCATACGCAAAGCAAATCAGAAGTCATACCCATGTAGATGTTCTCTGATGGCTAAATTCTATTGTGAATCACTGGGCATTTTTTTGGAGAAGGAAGTTATAGAATCACAGAACAGCTTGGGTTGGAAGAAACCTTAAAGATCATCCACAGTTCCAACCCCACTATGGGATGCAGGGCTGCCACTCACTAGTTCAGGCAGCCACTCAGAGATAGGTGCCTTTGGGAACAAACTGCTAGCTATAAAAAGTCTTCTACGAATGAGCACAGAAACTGACTTGCTACATGCCAGTTTGGTTCAGGAAATGTAATTCTGTAATACAGATACTGCAATTTTAAAAGTTTCCATCGAAACCAAACAAAACACATTCATAGATATTCTTCCATGGTTGATTCCTGTTTTTAGCCTGGAGAGGACTGACAAAAGTGTTAACAGTATTTCTGCACTTGGTAACTAGACATCACTAAAGGGTGAAAATACTTTGTCTGAAATACAGCCCAAGCTACAGTCACTGCCCTTTCAGCAGAATAAGTGACAGCAGTGCTGATAGCGCTCAGTAGTCCAAATACAGTCAAAATCCAAGATCTTTTCATTATCTCAGACCAAATGTGGAAGGATTCCTAAAAAAGCCATGAGCAATTAAATTGCTGTAAATCTGAGAACATTCTAACAGCCAGCTCTGGCAATCACACCAGTAAATATCATCTAATCAAACCAAAATATAAAATAAGAAAACAATGACGCCATTAAGATTTCATAAGCAAGTGAAACCCATCTCAAAAACATTCTGAAACTCAGATGAAAGCAATTTATTATTTCCCTTTTTGGCTTTGCACAGAAATTGCAGAGCAGAAAGAATGGGCCCACCAGCAAGCCAGAGAAGTAGGAACAACCAACACCTGAAGAGCTTTCAGAGAAGGGCAGTGAAACTACTTCAGCACCTCGCTAATTACTCTAAGACAACTAAAGAGCAAAGCCCAGTCTAAGAGGCTTCACCCCAGAAGCCCTGAATATTGCCAGCAAATCTGAGAGTTGCTGTCTGCATAGAGCCTTGCATGGCTGTCAGCGAGCACAAAGCCAAGCTAACGTACACTGCATAGGCAGCATGCATTAACCTCCAGCTAACAAAATGTGACTCCATAATGTATTTATTGAAATGAAATTGAAACATTTAGTATCATTATTGCATAACTAGATGGTCTGCATTTCTGTATTTTAGAGTTAATTTCTTTAGGATTCAGAGGCTTACTTACATTACTTCAGTAAGTAATAATGCATACTAACGTTCACATAATAATAACAATATATAACTAACAGTATTTTAATAAAAAAATCACTCATACTGAAAATATTCACAGATTAGAATTAGTTATATACACGGAGCATAAAAAAGTTACCCATCTCCTACCTCAAGGCAAAGCATGTACAGAATTTCCTTTCCAGAAGAGATGAAGAAATTAAACTAAAATTCAGCATAAATAGACATAATCGTTTTCTCAAGCTGACACTTCATTGAAAGTTATTTACAACATATAAATAGGTGCAACACTACTCCAGGTCCATTGAGAAAAAATTAAAATGGCATCACACAAGAAAAATGGCACAGCATAGCTTTCTATTACCCACACTACGACTGAATGAATGAAATGCAAGAGGAGACGTGCCAAGTTACTTGATACTTGCTAGTCAGCTTAATCAGATACTCTGAGTTTCCTGCAAGATGGATAACAAACACTGTCCTGCTACTTACTGCACACCACGTCTACTAACATATTTTCTGAGACAGAATGATCCTAAAAACCTCTGAGCATCTAATAACACAAATGCCCTGGAACTACACAATCTGAAAAGAACTAAGAAGGGATTTAAATAAAATAATATGTTTGAAGATACTGGACATGGATATTTGAGATAAAGTAAATTATAAAATTATAAAATTTGAGTTCTTGCTTCATTGTAAACCTACAATGTCAAAGACTGACTTTGTACTTCTAACTGCCATATGCCCTTATTTAAAAAAACAGCAACAACAACACAATGTCTAAGTTCAGAAGAGAATCGGAAGTACTTTGAAGAAATACTTCAAAAAAGTCTGAATTCTTATCTCAGTAACAAATACCTGTTACATATACAACATTTTAAATAAATTCTTAATTATGAAATGCATTTCCCTCTGAGAACAGGTTTGAAAAAGCAAAAGCAAGGCTATGCCATTAAGAAATAAGATTTTGTGCAAATTCTGTAAATGTTTTTAGCAATGCTAAAACACTTTAGCTCTTTTATTTTTTGTTTAAGGTAATATGTATAAAAGGTGCCATTCCAAGGGAGCTGGCAGAATAGCTCATGTTGTGTCTTATTAGCGTCAGTAACAAAATATTGTTTTTTAGTCTAACTACATTCAAACATCAACACTTATGTTCATTTCAGCTTCATCCAACTTTCAATTAACATTTCGGCTTCATCCAGCTGAAGTATCTATTGGATACTGATTTTTAGGAGAAAGTAGAAAGACTTCCACTTCAGTTTTTCTCAAAATATATACATAGAAAAAAACAATGGAGAGGAAGAGGAACATGAGAAGCACAATAGGCAGTAAGGCCAAACCACCTGCCCTCAAGGCATTCCTTTAACTTGAGCAGGAAACAAAGAATTTTGGTACTTGGGAAATAAAGGAAAACTAGCCATTTCCATTTTCCCTACTTCTGTCTCAAAGAGTTATCCTACTGTCAAAAAGATGAACAGATAATCAACAACAAAAAATAATCTGTTAAATTCCTCTCCCGCTCATAAGGAAAGTAAAAATAGAAGCATTCTTGCTTTCTAGAGTATTTCCTTCCAACTTCTGGACCTTAAGGCTTTGCTAAGCAGCAGCTATCAACCATAATATGACTTCACCATTTTTTCATTGCTTTCATTAATAATCGCTTTTGAAAGATGAAATAAAATAACACAGACATCGGTATTCAGGCTTATTAATAATAGCAAGTGAAGAACTTCACATTTTTCAGTCTTAACATCATGGATCAGACGGCTTCAAAAAAAATATCAAACTCTTCAAAATGACTTTCCTCCAAAAACTAATGTGAATTAAAAATAAATTTCCTTAACCCATTCTCTTAATTTTTATTTTCTTTTATTCCAGTTTGTTATTTTCCTGCAGTTTCAGAAAAAAAAAGAAGTCAGCTTGCAGTATGCATTATTTGCTTAGAGACTTAGCTCTACTCAGTTTCCTATTTCTAAAGAAAAATTGTCCCAAATTTTCTGTTACTGTCTTGATTTTCTACTCTTCTATATTCTTATTCTTATCTCAAATAATAGTCCAAAAATAAATCTGTAAAAATCTGGAAGAGAGGAAGATGCTAATAAGAGTAGAGCTCTGTCCGCATCAATTTTATGTAGTCATTTTTCCTTCAATAGAAAGCAAAATATACTAGAAAATGCAGTTATTATATAATTTTAAAGAATTACACAACCCACAAGTTTAATATTTACAGAATCCAATACCTTAAAAAAATAAAAAATGACTATAGTGAACTAGAAAAAAAAAAAGTTATATTTCTTTAGCCATTCTTCTCTCCCGAGGATTACTTTCGTATCTGGGCCTCTCCAATTCTTCTTTTGACTTTCTCTTTCAGTTCCTGACCTCATGGTGCCCACATCGCTTTTCCCAGGATCTAACCAAAGGGGAATTTTCTGAGGGCTCGGGTGTATTTTTTCTTACACAACCAAGAGCCAGAACTCTTGCACAAGAGAATACCCAATACTCAACACAGTTGCTTCCCACATTATCACAGGAACACACTGTACTGAAACTGCAGTACCATGACTCAGAGCACATCGCAACCATGAAGCTCTGAAAAGATTCTCTTCACTGTCCAAGGATGTGGAACTTGAAACTACATTCCTAACTGTATCTCACGATTTCCCTGTCCCAGTGAAATCTTAAATCTTTCCAGTTCCATTGTACCTTGTCCCTCTGCACTCTCCTTTTGACTTTCCACGCAGTTTCAGTCTTTCATCTTATTCTGTGTCAGAATAGCACAGTACCAAGTTTCATCTCTACATGAGTACCAGCCATTCTGTTAGTGGACAAAGGAAAGATGTCAAAGTCACTGAAAGGACACAACCATAAAAACAGCATTTAAGGAAACAGGGACTCTTTTTAACCCTGCAAGCATCAAATTTCATAAAGGGAAGACTAGTAAACGCTTCATGTCAAACTATGAAAGTTATCTGCTTCTTTTGTTTGTGTAGACCTTTAGGTATAAACAGTAGAGTTTTCTGTATTTGAATCACAGATTGAGAACAATACACTTCCAATTGACTCTCTACTAGATACTTCCAGTTTTCAGAAAAGGAAACTTCTGAATCAGACTGCTTCCCAAAATAAAAACTATAATGAACGCAAATGCCTAAAAATTGACATACTTATCTTTCTGTGGTATCCTTTGATATATTGCCCAGCATTTCAGATCCTAAGTAGTACCCAGTTTGAGCTCCACCTATTAAAGATTCTAGGATGAAAGCAATACTTACTTCGTTTCTCTGATGAGAGGAGCGCTTCCCAGTTTAAAGCAGACTTTTATCCCTCCACAAGACGTTTGTCGCAAAGAAAAGCTTTCTGTGAGATCAAACCCTGCAAAGTATGATACATTGATTTAGTTTATTTTTGTTTTAATCAACAGAAGAAACTATCACTGCAAAATTCATACAGTAGTTGAAACTAACTTTGCTACCTAATAAATAATTAGTTATTTCCTTTTATTATTTGCACTGATGTTAGTAAAGACTAAGCATGGAACTAAGCATGTCTATAGAACTTCAATCAATAGTTTCCAATTTTAATCTCACTTTCCTAACAGCAACTGTTTTTGGAGCATGATGATAACAAGTTGTATGATGTTTTTTAAGCCAGCAGCATTAGAAACTATCTTTATTTCTGCTCCTGGTCAATGGATTTAGGTATTTTGCTCTTGATATTAACTGAAGCCACTTACCTGAAACACCAAGACTGTCTCTGTTGATTTGTTTGAGATGATGAATAGCTGTTTTCATTAAAGGACATCCAGAACCTTGAAGAGAACACAATTTAAAATCATAAAATTCTATCAAATAAAAATGAATCAGAGCAAACCACCATGACAGTGACAGTCACAGTAACAAGAAAGATTACCTGGTTTCTTTGTCTTTTGAACATAGAAAATAAATTACAAAATTTAAGTGACAGCAGTAATATTTCAGATTTCAAGCTATAATTCCATTAATATAAGCAGACATAAATTTTATCCTGTTTTAATTCAGCTGTTTAGGATTGATGCTCACATGAATGACAGAAGCAGAAGTAAAATACAAAGTTCTTACTAAGCTCTTTCCATCCTCAGTACCCTATAAAAGAAACATCTAAGTTTTTGTTGTTGTTTTTTCCTCCTGCTTATATTATTAGAAAAATTCTTTTTCATTGTAATATTTTCTCAATCAAGAAACATGCAACAGTAAAGAATAAATGCGCGGTTACCATGGCAATAATCAATTATTACTTCAATGAACATTAATTTCAAAATGTGGATTAACAAGGATATGAACATATCATATAATGAACAATGCAAGCAACATTTAGACTTTGAAAAAAGTGGTTGAAAATTAAGCAGCTTTGCAGGGGATTAAGCCTGAACCAAAGCATTTAGGTAAACAAGCATAATGTTCTATAAATTTGGAACACGGTGAATTCTAAGGTTATCTCCAGCCAAACGCTTAGAATAAACAATGCGTCATTATACTGCATTCAATTTGCTCAAAGAGTTTTTTTTTTAATATTCAGTGAAATGCACACTTTTAAGAAGCAAATACAAAGAAACATTCCTTTATTATATGATTCAAAAATAGGGCTTTTTCTTCAAACTTTTTAAACAACACAACTAAATTCTAACTATAAATCAAACAGGATTTGGCCTATACGCTTATTAAGCTCAGATCTCTGTGAAGACATTTTATGCAAGACGAATCAAGTGCCACTTGATACCACATCCTTGACGTCTACGCTACAATCTACAATTACAAGAAACATCACTTATAATTTGATTTATTTCAAAGGCATTAAGGCAATTTATTCTTTCCTTCCTTCGTGCATATATGTACTTACAGAACTAAGCATTTTACTTATATAGATATATATATACACACATGAAAATTTTATGAGAAATAAGAAACACACATGTTGAAAATAGCTGTAACTCCCATCATAAGTTCCCTTCCCCAAGCAAAGGATGCAGAAGCATTAAAAATATTAATGCCAAAATCTCAGAAACTGAAATGAAATCTTTCATCACTCTTGGATTGTAGGGAGCTTTATGTAGCGTGAAATGCATTCACTGTAATTACATACTAACATAGCAATCTGAATACACCACTTACTATACGCACGCTAAGGATACAGAAACAGGTTTACCTTAAATACTCCGCAATATACAATTCTGATGTTTCAATCATTCATAAAGATTATTAAGCTAAAATTTTTCATCTATAGATACTCTAGAGCAATGAACATTGTTCCTGTAGATTTATAGAAGTACAGCTACAATAAGCATGTCGGCGTAAAGAAAGCCTGTTATGGCTGAAGGCAGAGTAGCATGCATACTCTAACAACCATCTTGATGTGGGGTTTTTTTGTTTTGTTTTATTTTTTTAAATTAATATAAGACTATAGGCAGATTCTGTTTTCAGCTGAATTACTCTACACTATTTACAAGAAAAGCAGCCAGATACAACCTGTTTTAGATTTTACTTCGAACTGCGATAAAATGTGCTCTTTTTCCTCCACCATTAACTTTCATGAGGGATGAGTGGCTAAGGACTATGGAATTTATTTTATTCCCACCAGCCACTTTCCTGCAACTCCAAATAAAGAATCAAAGCCTTAATTTCTATGTTATCCAGATGATAGCAATGATTCCTTACATGCCACAGACTGGACTGTAGACCTATTTTTATCAGCAGCATAACAGTCCATAGACAGGCCATGTAAATGTTATTTATTTGGTTGTTTTCCATATCCCTAGAAAAACTGAAAGAGTTACTATCATTTTTCTTCCAGTTTATGCTGCTGGTACACTCCTTTTGCCTAATATTATTTTACCAGAGAGTTAAGACAAAGTCATAAAATAATAAAATCCAAAAAGCTCTCCCTATCAAGACTCGTAACTGTAATTGCTATAGATTGATGAAAATTCTTTCTATAGTTTGTGCAGTCAAAAAGTTAGTCTCTTCCAAGATTTTTAGTACTGCTGGCAGACTCTTAAATTCTTTGGCCTGAGACAAAGCAGTCAGTTTACACATTCAGCCTGTGGGTTACTGAATTAGAAGATTCACATGAAGGCATTTAGGAAAGAAAAAGAACAAGACAAACCCCTTATCAGGCATACAAACCACACATAACTACCACCTCCATTATAATACTGCAAACTAAGGTAGCAGTAAAAATAACAAGCTTATATTTATGCAGTAGACTCCTCTACATGTGATAGAACTGAGCTTATATGGATAAGTCCACGATTCATATTATGAGAATGGTGAAACTGAAGTTGAAGTTAATATACCTATGAATTAATTAGATCTTCTTTCCATACAATAAATTGCAGACCTTCATCCTTAGAAGTCACTGAAGACTACATAGCAAGTTGTTATAAAATCAACATAATCATTTCAAAAACACGTGTCTGTGTGGGTCAGGCAGGTCAATCACAAATTGTTGTGATTGTCTTTCTCTCCACTGAGAAGCTAACAAGGAAAACGTTTTCCTAATAGCTTTTTGAATCAAACAAACAAACAAACAAAAAAACCAAACAGCTAAATTCAAAGTAATGGGACTTAATCTACATTTCTCTTCTATAATATGCTCGTCACATTTTGAGTTCTTGTTATGATCAGAGCCCTTACTGAAGCTCAGGATAGCTTCCCCCTAGGTCCTATGCCAAACACTGATTTCTGTGAAAACTGGGACATTGGAGACTCTGGTACATGTTTCACACTCACTCTGACAGAAAGCATGAACTTCTGACTGGGAACTGTAGCTTCCAATAGGGCACTCTTGTCTTCCCTAGGTCAGGAGTGATCTGAAATACCTAGATTTGCTTTATGATTAACCTAGCAGGTAAACACTTGTCAAGTTCACGTTTAAGTGAATTTTCAGCTGCTAACACCACCTACATGCACATTCTGAAGGCACTGATGTTTCTATCAGAAAGCAGAACTGATAAAATAAATGTGGCTCAGCAGCAAAAGCCCCAATTAGCTTACATACCTTTAGCCTTACATAAAGAGCTATCAGAAAATGAAATGTCATTTTTTTCTTCTCTTTCTATATTGTAAGCCACTTACTACTTATTGCATGACAATAGAAGTGTTAATTAAACCAAAGGTGGGAAGAGAACAATGAGAGACTGAATATATAATTTTATTGATACAGGAAAGAAGTCCAAGTCCTGGTGACTATTTAGACACTTATGTAAATAGCATCACAACTTTGGTAGCAGGAATTAAGAAATCTGAGTTCAAGTATTAGGATGCCTACACTACACCTTGGAAAACTATTCTTCCATGAGGAACTGAAGGTAGTAGAAAAACAAGACCATATTTAGGTGGATATCCTGGCTACAGGAGTTAGTTTTCCTTTTTCTTGCTTTCCATGGAAAAAAATGGGCTGATCTAGTGTACAGGCTTTTCTCTGAGGGAATGTGTAGTTGTTTCCCTTTATGGTTTCAGTTTCTCTGTACTACTTACTCACTAGCTGAAGTGTCTTTCCACAATACACAGGCTTTCAGGAGCCACATCCTTACTGATACCTAAAGCTCCTTCTTCACTGCCAAAGAATGCTGCCTGCCCATGAGTTAAGGAATCCAAGGGTGGCATAGTCATTTTAACTCTGCAATGCAGACAATAGGTTGTGAATCAAACTTTAAACATTCAGTCTAAGAGTTTAAACGCTCATGGTATTAAGAATATGAATACATTTCATATGAGAGTGACTACAGAGACTTTATCTCGATTTTGAGAATTATCTAGCTGCACTAAAACATGAAAACTGGAAAGCTGAACCAATTTGCATGCCTGAAACCATTCACTGTATTTGGGTTAAATTGCCTATCTGAAATTATGATCTAGAGCCAATACTTTTGACAACACATTCCATGTCAAAAGGCAATGGAAATTCACCATGACTGGCAGTCCCAAGACTTTATTTATGCTACATTTTTCATGGGTTAGCAAGTGACTTTAAAAAGGATTGATTATAAAAGAAAGCTGAAAAAGCAACGATGATCTGGGAATGAGACAGAGCATTAATGTTCTCAATATGGAGCATTTAGGAATGATCAGATTCACGTGTCATTCCAAAAAGAGCTCAAGCCAAGAGCTCCCAACAATAAAAACTTAAGTTTATGTTATGAAAATACTCCTGAAGTCAGTTAACAAACCAGACTGTGGAATCCTTTACCTTCAGTTCACCATATTCTATCATTTGAATGTATTAAGTGCTTCCTTCTGATGAATGATTAGCACACCAAAGCTTCAGAAAAGTGAGAACTGACAGAAATCCTTACTTAGATCCTAAGGAGAACTGCTCCAAGAAGGCCCACTTCGATGTTTTTTCCAATACTAGTATTTATTTAACAAAGTATCAAATCAACAAGTCCCACAGTAGATTCAGAATGCCTTCTCAGCAATCTCTTTCCTATGTGTATATACAAATTGATCCTCTCTCTTGCAGGAGATTTCCTTCCATAATTATATATATTTTTTTTCCTCTCATCAAATCAAGGTTAGTTTTTCCTCACTCTGAAGACTATCTATTAAAGTCAGGATGATCCAGAAAGAAATTTTAGAATTCACATTAGCCTAGTGAGTAACAAACATTATGCATACACTGCAGGAAAAAGAAGAAACCTGGGCAAGTCCTGAAGGACAGAAGCAAATCCATTCAGAACTGGTACATGGGAGAGAATGAAGGCCCAAGAGTTGGTTAATGAGTGAAATAAAGAAATAGAGGAGACTGGATATTTCTCTCTTCTTCAAACATGCACACAACCAATTTGTAGGATTCAAAAGAATTGCAACAGAGAATACTGAGTTCCACTGAATGAGTCAGATTTAACAACAAAGACTGCAAATGCACCAATACCCTTTACCATTGACTTTGCAGAGACTATTCTTTCTCAACTCCTGCTTTCTGCTCTATAACTAACATTTCATTTTGTATGTTTTCTACACTTTTCAGTCCCTAACAAAGTTTTTTTTCCTGTTATCACCTTAAAGCTTCACTCAAAGTCTATTCCCTGCTGTTGGCAGACCCACACATGCTGGCAGCTATCTACTCGTTATTCTTTACCATCTGCACATACCACCTCATCCTGCAGAAGCCTCTCTCAATTGTATACATTTAGTTGTTCTCAGGAGAGATTCAACCCCTCCTCTTCACATCAGTAGTTTTATTGGACCCATACCTGATCAATTTCTAGCCATCAGGTTAGGCTAAATTTCCACCTCCCTTCTGGCTATACAAAAACAAACTCAGAACCTAGTTCAGATCTACTGTTCACAAGTGGTTCAGTTTATCTGTCACACCTTGTATGAAAGGCTTGTTTTTTCCCTCCTGAGATATCTTTTCATTAGAAAAAAAAAAGCTGCAGATTTATCTATTTACATCATTAGAGAGCATTGTGCGCTCATTTTCTTCTACCCTTCTGTAATGCACTAGGTAGGAATAAAAGAGAAAACAACCTATTTTGACTCTTCTAGATGATCAAAGAGGATAATCATGTGGCCATTCTCACTCTCCTGCGGGGGTTAAGAATAACTTTTTGCTGAAAAATTTAGTTTTGCTGCCCCAAACACAGAAGGCAAAAAGTGACTCTTTAAGTTATATTCAGATTCTTCACAATGCATTACTGCAGTCCTGAAGCCTACACATTACATTTAATAGTTAATAAGTGTTAGTATTTATTGTTTACTGGAGAAATAATGTGATTATTATGCTAGAAAATGACTTTTACATTTTTGGGGCATGAGTTTCAAAGGTGTTGCAGAGATTTAAAGCTACTGTATATATACAGATCCTATTATCTTCCACCAGCATTACATTACTACAAATACATTTCATCTTCTGCAAAAGAAACAATAACTTTTAATCTCTGTCTAAATAGTAACTAATATGTTCTCCTTCCCAGTAACTGAAGGAAAATTCTAGAAAGTTAAGGTATATGTTATGCTGAGCACTTCTAGAAAACTGATGATTCCACACACAATGTGCTTTTCAAACAGAATTTGACACTCCTAAGAGTGGTGAAGTAGGAGTTTAGCAGAACAAGATAACACGGACAGTGAGAGAGGAAAGTGGAGAAGCATAAGAGTATTTGCAGAAGATGGGCAACAGCTTTTACAGTAAACATTTTAATTATATTCTTCTTCCCTACTGTTCCCTTTCTTAGATACAAGATCCTGTCTCACTGTATGTCTGTGAAGCATATGACATGGTTTGAGGATTAACTTTAGGTTAGGTTAACGTGAGCATTAGGTTGCTTAGATCAGTATAACCACTTATCTACAATAAAGTCATGTCATTTTGTTCACAGAAGTTTTGCAAGCCCTGACTTAGAATCTTGCTTTGTATAGTAAGTTGAGAAATTACAAAACAAAACTCTTAGGAAGTACAACTGCTTCCAAATGCGAATCTTTCAAGCATCTGAAACAGAAAGGCTGCTTTCGAACTGCTTCAAATTTAGACATCGTCACAAAGAAGTTAAAAAATATTTTTTTTTTCTAGTTTTGTTTGCTTGTATTTATTTCCTATGTATTGTTCTTATTTGTCTACAGGCTGAGTATCAGGATTTATGCCTTTGGACAGTGAAGTGAAAGAAAAAGGGGAGTACCTGTCTGGTCACTGACAGCCACAGCAGTAGAAGCAGGGAGAAGCAGGATGACTGCCATGCAAAGCCAAACTGTGCTGGATCCAATGCGCTTCATCTCCCCCCGGACACATGTGAACAATCAGCTACAAATCTGAAACAGAAGATAATCATATTCAGAACAATCTCTGCTTCAAGAATTTCTCAACTGTAAGAAAAAGGGTAAACCTCTAGTCATATACAAAGTGTATAATTTATCTATTTTGAGGAGCTATAAAAATAGACCGAAGTAAATTTAGAAATATTCCTTCAGTTCTCGCTGTGAAGGCAATCATTATTTATTTCATTAGTAATGACCAGTTTTACTTTTCCCCCCGAGATGTCAGTTTTAAGTACCCTCATGTAACTGGTGTCACCGTGCTGCCCAGAACTGCTGAGCACCCAACCATCACACTGAACAAGGACAACGTGTTACACCTGTGTGTGCAAACAAGCAGAAATACGACGCTTCTCCTTGGCGCAGGGCACCCAGGTGCCTGGCACTACCTGTGCTGAGTTCACACGTTAAACACCACAGCTTTAACAACTCGTCCTTCAGGCCCTATGCATATCAGCTTTTCTCCTAAGCCAACTAACTTCTAGAAACACACGAATCCAGTGAAACGCAAAAAGTGACAAGTACTCTTCTAACCACAACTTGCGTTAAGAAAGGCAAATCCTACGCCTATACTTCAGAATTATCTTTGCGAGACCCCTCAGCAGAGCCACTCCCAGCCACATGCGCTGACACTGACCGCACCACCATTAACTTTCCCAGCCTCCCCAACAGCAGCACGGTGAGCACACCTTCAAGCACCATTATCAGCTAATTTCCCGCACCTGCTTTACGAGGCACGGAACTGCGGTGCCAGCCCTCGTTCTCTGGAAGGCTCCTGCAGGTTCGCTACCTCACGCTCTCGCCCCCCGCAGCTCCGCGCTTGGCCGCCCTCTCCCTCTTCACACGGCGAGCACACCTGAGGCTGCAGGACGAGCTTCCAGCAGCTCAAACTGCAACGCGACGGCGATTCAGTTTCTCTCGGACGAAGTTGGGTTCGGCTGAAGGACTATCTGAACGTCCCACGAACGGGCGGGCACCGGGGGCGTGCGCCCAGAGGTTGACTGACGCCGCGGCGAGGTGCCCGGGCAGCACCGGGCAGCCTCCACCCGCCCCTTCACCCTCCCTCCTTCAGCTCCGCCGGTGCTCGGCTCGGAATCTGCCCGTTCGCCCGGCCCCACCAGCGACGGGGCAGGCATCCGCCGACGCTTCCTCCCCGGAGCGCTGCCAGCAGCACGCTCGGACCGCTGGAGAAGGTGGCGCGGCGCCCCCGCTGCACGAGGGAGCCCTCTGCCGCCGGGCCCCCGGCCCCGCCAGGTGCGAGAGGCGCACGGCGCCGGGTGCCGGCATGCGAGCGGCGGCTCTCGCTCGCCCCGTCCCGCGCCGGGCACCGCGCCTGGCGGCCGGAGCCGGTTCCGCCGCGCCGCCCCGCGGGCAGCTCCGGGCGGCGGCCGGCTCCTGCTCCGCGGCGGCGAGGGGCGGGCAGGTGGAAGGCGGCCCGGCGGCGGGCGGCGCTCCGCTCCCCGGCGGGGTGGGTCCGCTGGAGCTGCGCGGTGCTCCCGGCGATGGCAGCCGAGGAACCTCGAGGCTGCCCGGCAGCGCTGCGCTCCTGTAGATTTGCAGTGCCCTCCGCACGTGCCGCTGTTGGCGGGGTCGGTACCGGTACGGGGATGCAGGCCGCCCCGTGCGCGCACGGATCAGAGCGAACGTACGCTAACAGATACGCTGAAAAATGTAAAAACGTACCCGCATGTTTTATACGTAGTACTGTGCCGAGTTACAACGGTTTAATTTTTTATTTATTTATTTTTAAATTACTACAAACGTACCGGGACTGCTTTCATTAGCATGCATCTGTAATCGCCCACAAGCACCCCTACAGCTCAGGCTGATAACAGCACGTTAAACGCTTACTGTGCGCGTTTCTATTGGATGTAGTTAATATGACTAAATCACCAACAAACTTAGCTAACAATTCTGCACGAGCACCAAAAGAGGAATATTGAAGCGTGAGCGCATAGCTAAGTTGTTCAGACAACTTATTGCGAATAGCGAGCCGCTTACCTTTAGTTTCTATTCCAGCTCGTCCCCCAGCAGTACAGACATGCCCAGGCTGCTGCGTGCAGAGGAGTTGCGGAGCGTCTCTGGAGCGCGGTGAGGGGATGCAGCGCTGCCCTTATCAGTCTCACGCAGCGTGACCCTCCCACTCCGCTCGGAGCTGCGGGACAGGACGGACCGCCACCCGACACACGCTTTACACAATCGGATATCCGAGGGGCAGCGACAGCACAAGGAATGTTTTCTTTCTACTCCCTCCCCTTCAGTTCTGTGTAAATTTATTTACCAGAGTATGGACACGCGAATAAAAGGGTATCTGGCTTCGGGCTGTAAAGAACAGATTACATACATTAGCATGCTGGCAGAGGCTGGCTATTATCACTTAAAGTATATAAAATTAATGACGTGTGCTTATACTTACCATAAATTTAAAATTTGTTCAACCAAGGGAGCGTGCCTATTTACGGCACTGATGCTGCAAAATGCAGATTACTGGCATTTGTCGTGCCTTTCAAAAACCATCATTTACAAATCAGAATGTTCTCTCATTTCACTATCATCTGTCTACAATAAAGCAGTGACATTGAGCGCTGCCCCTGGATATGCCAAACTGTACTTTTCTCAGTTCTGTGTGTGCTTGTGGCACTTTTCTATATTGCATTTCATGGATGTAAACCAGACGGAGGGATAGAAAAATAAAGTGATAAGATATACATACACAGAACACAAATTCAGAGTTTATTTAAACATATTTCATTTATATATATTCAGGACATACATTATCTCCTATTGGGATCATTTTGACAGGACAAAAAAAGAAAGGTGGTGACTACTGATTGAAGGGTAGCGAACATCAGTTTAGATCAGCTGGTTTTAAGGTCAGCAGACTTCAATAGTTAACTTTTTTGCCTTTTCCTTCCAGCAGATTTTCACCAGTGTTCCAACAAAGACAGTGTGTCAGGATGACAAACCACACAGAAAGACATGAATATCTTCTTGGTTTAAATTTCAAAGCAGTTGTCCTTTCCAACATAGCATCAGAAGAGAAAGATGAAATTGCAGCCTACGTGTGCCTTGTAGGGTGTTTGAATCCAGAACTCTGCTAGGTTGGTACTGTGACTTTGCGCACATCACACTTTTCACTTACTCCTTCCTTTCCTTTTGAAAGTTATGGAAAGTAAAACTTCACCACCTCACACAGCAAGGCTCCAGATCGCAGCCCTCAGTTGCAAAGCTAGCTGAGTATTTCCTTTGCTTTGAGACTGTTCATTTGATAAAGGCTGCAGTGTCAAGACCTAATTCAATGTTTCAAAAGAGTTTTGAGATCCCTCGTTGAAAGACCCATTGTAAAAGCTCGGCTCCCAGTGAAAGGCATTATCATTTTTTATTTGAAAAGAAATGCATTTCCCATTGCTCTTTCAAGTTATTAAAATTCTTGAAATCCTTTTTCTTTACTTCATTTTACATACCCTAAATATATGGGTCCAGCTCTTATAACGTTATTAATCTCAATGATTTATATTCTAAATTAGGTAAGCTATCTAATTGTATAATACTTGCACATACAATCTGTTCATCTTTTAAGGGAACATTTCTGCTCCTCAGAGCTTTAGTATTGCTCAAAACTTCAAATTTTAGCTTAGTTTTCATTGCTTGTGAAGTAATAATGAAACATAACCCCTTAATCAAGGATGTTGTTCCACTTAGCGAGCCAGCGACGCTCCAAATATAACATCAAAAATACCTTATTTGGACTATGTCAACTTCAAAACACTCCACATCATTATGAAAGTATTAAGAAGAAGAAGAATTAGAACCTATTGTAATGTTCCCTGACTAGTACTGCTTCCTGTACTCTGGCCCAGATTTTCAACTAAATGAGATTATGCCAGTTCATGTAAATCAAAGGAATTACTCCGATTTATACCGGTTAAGGAGAACTTGGGCACTGGAGACAGTAACTGTATGCATTTACAGAGAATACTTCATACTGACAGAAACAGTCCTGAATGACTAGTGACATAAAAATTGGGATCAAACAAAAATCTTACTGTTTACAGAACTCTGTGGGAACCAAAAAAAATCTCTCTGTCCTTCAATACAAGAAGCAAAGCCACAACTCACAAAACTTCTTTGTTCTCATGCACAGTTTAAAAGCGTGAACCAAGTTCACCTGCAAAGTTGGTAGTGAACTGCACAGAAAACACTGTAGGTAGTTCTTCTCTCCAGGTTTGCAGCAAGTACAGAAAATAGTTGATGAGAGTGTGTGATCTGAAACATCGTAGCAAAGAAATGCTTTACTACGTTACCTGTGTAGCAACACAATTTTCTAGATAGCTCTGTTTAGCTGAAACTCTCACTGGCTTACAGAAGACAGGAATCAGTCCCAGGTACAGACAAGAGCCGAGGAAATACATCAAAAGAGAGAGAGCCTAAGCTTGACACCATACTTAGCACAGCCATGTAGAACACATTCCACCTCCTGTGCTGAGAGTGCACTGCTTCACTGAACAGCTTTAACTAGAAGTGCAGCTGCAGACAAGATACAGGGGGAAAGGAGGGAGAATAGGGGTAGGGGAACATAGGGACAGACTTATTTGTTCCAGAAAACTTTTCTCTACTGCTGACAGTAACTTTCAGCTTTTGTTTCTTTTTCGGCACTCTTAGATATCCAAAAGAGCCAAGTCACATAGCTCACTCTTGTCTCTTTGGTGCTAACAGATTTGTCTCCATCTTGTTAGACCCACATTTTTAACTTGTGTTGCTTGTGACAACACATATGCAGGAATGAAGCCTCGAGCTTCTGAAAAGCTCGAAGCTCTGAAAGCAGCAGTACTTCACTTGAAAAGGTTTCTAAAAAGATTAATTTGAGCCTCTGCCTTACTGCACTATCTTTTTTTTCTCCTTTGTTTTTTAAACCCACAAGTTCCTTGCCAGATGAACCTTTCTGCCCTTTGCAAGGTTTGCCAATCAGTCACGACAGCTGCATTGCACCGAAACTATTAAAATGTTCATTCTTTTGAATTTGTTTGTAACTTCTGCAGTGAAGATAAACTCTGCGTAAGACCAAATGTCAAGTGTCACCATCTTGTGTGCCTGACACAAGGCCTTGCTTTCTGTTATGGCTATTTAGAAAACTACGTATTCTACTTACAGGCTTTTTTTTTTTTTTTTTTTTTGTAAGAGTGGATTATTTTTTATTTATTTATTTTTACTCCTGCCAACAGATTTATTTTATTCAGTTTAAGAATTTTTTCTTAATCTTGTTCTCCACTGACAGAGAGTTTGAGTCCTGAAGTATCTGTATCTTGTATTTCAAGTTCTGGCAAATTGAGCAACATCGTATGAGAAGAGATGAAGGTTTCTAATGAATGCCTGAGCAAGGAGGGCTTAAAACTGTTTGAGTTCTTTGTCTTTAAGAATCTGGCCCTGTAGTTTTAACGCATCCCAAATAGATTTGGAGACACGTCAAGCCATGATTATTCATACTGAAAAGATTTGGGTGAAAACAATTTATTACATAAAACTTTGTATGTTTCTAAAAGCTGCCTTCCCTGTCATGCAGACAAGCAGGGCCTTAATACATACTCTCTGAAAACAGGCTGATACCATGTCAGCAACACAGTTACCTTCGATAGATTTTGTATTTTTGGTCTAAGATCATTTTTCTACTGTAAGTTTTTGTAATTAAATACGTTATTTATTATGTATCATTGTCAGATACTGCTATTCCAATAATTATAGACTATAACTGCTGAGAAAGCCACAAATTGTAAATGCATTTGAATAATTTTGCATGTGAAAGTATTTCCTCACTTAGTAGTTGCAAGATGTTACTTTAAGTTGTTAGGGCATAATTAGTTCCAGCACTAGTGTGGAGTCAACAACTAACTATCAAGATTAAGTTCAATACTCGATTAAAATAATCAACAAAATATATCTAGATTCCACTTATCAGGAAAGGAAAGAAACCAGAGCAGTTCCTAGCTAATCCAAGCTTCATCAAAATGCTGAATTGCTTGGCCTTGCTCCAAAATTAAATTAATCCATCGTGTCCAAACCACATTCGAAGTGCCAAAAATAAAACATTTAGAGACTGATGCTAATACTACACTTGATACACTACACAGCTAGGTTTGCTTTAAGAACCTTCTGTGTATGTAAATGCTGGCCATTCTATGAGCTAATGGTTAGTTGTGCATTCCTAACAAACAGCAAAATGTCCATGAGTTGCAATGCAGAAATATACAAATAGTCATGAAATAAAAGAAATAAAAGAATCCAATAGATTCTTACTTTCAACTCTCATTTTCCACATTTTCTATGAGTGCACAAGTTCCCTAGCTCCCAAAAATACATTTATATACAGCATGACGTAGGATGTTGACTTGCAATGTGTATAGGTCAGTAGGTTATTTTAGAGGGCACATAACAGCTAGACTTTTGGGCTTGTACTTCTGTCTCGCTTCTAGCTGCAGCCTTTACATGCTATTGAATTGAGAGTTCTTTAACATCTGAGATCATAACTAGACAGTTTTATGCAGACAAGCTTAACAAATCTCTAAAATGCTGGCTTAAATATATAACATTTAAATCCTCAGAAATCCTCCTAGATGGAAGACAAAGTAGACAGATCTTACTTTGACTTTCCAGATTCTTGTGCCCTCCTGTTCAGTAGTAAATATAATTGAAATTTTATTGCTTTGTTTCCTTACAGTACTGAAATTCTGCATCCAAACAACAATGGTAAATTGCTCTGCACAAATTCAGAATCTTGGATGTTAATATGATTGCAGATAATAGATTAAAAAAAATGACTGTCACACATCAGTCTAGCGTAGGCAAATTTATAGAAGTTATTTTCTGAAAAATTTGAAATCATTGATAACAAGATCTAAAACAATTTCATTTTTCAATGCAATATTCTATATTTAAATACAACTGTGTAAAGATAGCTGGACTGAAAGGACTAAACAGTGGGAGGCATTGACTAATAACGAGACTAGAAATTGCACAGACATTTGTTTAAAGTTAAAATGGAATTTTATCTGACATTTCGTGGGTTATCTATACTTCATCTTCCTGAAGTTTTTGTTTTTTTTTTTTTTAAAAAAAAAGCATAGAAAATGTAGCCTTCTGGCCTTAGCTTTGCCTAAAATGAAGTTGCCCTGTAAGCCTATGAGGCCAATAGAACTTGGTTTGTTCACAGCAACTTAAATTCAGCTGATATTTTTTGTTGTTGTTCTTTACCTTCCTTTTTCTAATATTTGCATTATAGCAATTTTAAATTAGCACATTTCACAGCTTTATAGCTTGCATATAGGATTGCAGCATATTCATGTGGAAATACTGAGCCCAAATCTGTAATTCCCAACACAGCTGTCTAAAACCTGGTCTTCATATTTTCAATTGAGAAGTGGCTTTTAAAGCCTATAGGTACTTCAGACTAAAACAAGCTACATGATGTGGTTTACATTTGGTTTGTTTTGGAAAACCACTTTTCTGCTTTTCTCATCCCTGGTCAGCTGTTTGACTGCACGCATGTTTGCTTCTTATGCAATACAGACGCCACCAACATGCACATGCTTCTTCTGGTTCAAGTAGAGTGGATTAAATATGAAAGAAAGAACAAAAAAAAAAAAAACAAAAAAAAAACAGTTTTAAGTATTCAGATTGTTTTTCATTGCCTATTTCTTTGTGGAGCCCATAAAAACAACAGAATGCATGGCAAGCTGTTCGTATCATGGCAGTGTGGTCATAAGCAACTATTTATCTCTCCACAAAAAGATGAACTATGCC